TACTCTCCCACCCACACACCTGCATACACACAAATCTACATAAATAAATAAAATTATAAATCCATCTTCCTGGCTCAAGCCTAGGAATCAGGATGTTGAGGGCAAGGCCCTATATTTCTATAGAAATAAATTATTTTAGTTCTGGAAACCAAATGATTTTAAGTTCCAGAATTGTCACAGTTCAACCAAAATGGAGGAGCTTTAGAATGGTGTGGCCCCAGCTAACGGAGGTTCAGAGTCAGGTGGTTTGGGAATAGAGATTGGGAACCAGCTGGAGGGATGATGAGGGGTGCTGTAAACATATAACCAGCATGAAGGGTCACTATGGAAAGATGCACAGACGGCCCCTCTATCAAAATCTCAGAGCAAAACTCTAGTCACAAGAGGCCTCTGAAGCACACAGGAGTTGCAAGACCCAGTCACTAAGTAGGCAGTAATGGTCATCACCAAAATGGCAGCAGGCACAGGCATCACCCCTAAAGTCAGAGCCGTATGGTAACCTGGAAGGGAAAGATGTCTGATTCACAACCCATCCCACCAGCTCCAGCAGGTGATCCTCCCGCGGGATGCCACAGAGCAGGGGTAAAGCCTCTGGGCTGGAGTCAGGTGACCTCAACAGTTGACTCGAGTCTTCTGCTCTAAGGTTACTGTGTCCTCACAGCCAGATTGGGTATGGGTCACCAGGGACCAAAGCTGTGTTGGTGAAGAGGATGGACACCATCCAGCTGGTCTGGTTCAGACCTGGCTTGGCTCAGCATTAACTGGCATGTGGCCCTGGGAGCGTACACAGAAGACAGTCATCAATGGGGTCTACCTCAGAAGCTGCTGATGAGGATGCAGCAAGGTTTTAGGCAGGAAGAACAGAGGAACCATGGTAGCCAATGTGGCCTGAAAGAAGAGCCGAGAAGAAGCTACTACCTAGGGAGGAATCCAGTGTAACAGTGCTGTAGTGTGAGCCTGCATGTTGTCTTGTGACATGTCTGTCCTTACTCTCTCCCTTGGTCCTAAGGACTAAGAGGGAGACTGGTCTTCTCACTCATCTGCTGATGCAGAATAAATTCTCCCCAAATGCACAGCTTGAAACAGTAAATATGGAATATCTCACAGTGCCAGGCACCCATGAGGAGCCAGGTTGAGTAGTTCTTCTTCAGGGCCTCTCATGAGTCACACTGTTGTGTGTGTGACCAAAGGCTTGGCACATGCTAGAGGTTCCACGTCCAAGTTCACTCTCATGACCATTTTCTTTTCCTGAATGCTGGGGACTGAACCCAGGATCTTGCGCTTGCTCAGCAAGCACCCTACCACTGAGTCCCTCGACGGGAAATCTCTCTGGGCCTACTCAGAGGGCTGAGCTGAGCCCCCACCAACACTACCAGGCTGGCCTGCCAGGAACTTCTAAGGGGGAAGAGACAGAGAGGAAGGGAGAGAAGGAAAAAGAGAAGATGAGGAGGAGGGAGAGAGGAGAGGAAAGGAGATGAGGGGAAGAGAAGGGAAGCTAGGTGGGGCTTGGGAAAGGACTGCCAGAGCTGAGGCTGTGCACACATGTAATCCCAGCACTAGAGAGGCTGAGACAGGGAGACCAGGGGTGCGAGGACAGCCTGGGTATGTTAGTTGTTTTCCTTGTTGCTGGGTCCCAATACCTGATGGAAGTGACTTGAAGGTAGAAGGTTTATTTTGGCTCTTGGTTACCTGGCAAGACAGGAACGGTTTGATCTGTGGTGGCAGGACCAGATCAGCTTGTCCCATCTGAAGGATCCAGAGACAGAGATTTTGGTCAGAACTCAGCCAGCTAAATCCCCTTACCTCACAGCTTTAGCCAAAAGTTAGCCACAGGACTACCAAAGCAGCGTCGCCAATGGGACAAGAATTCCAACCCCTGAACCTTGGGGGATCATTTCACACTCAAAACATAACCCTTTACTACGTAGCAAGATTCTCTTTCCTAAAGCAAAACTGAACAAAAACCAGTGGGTAGGAGGGAAAGGTGCATCTATCATTTCATAATTCAAGCCTGTGTCTCCCTCCCTGTTTGTTGCCCCCATTCTATCCATAAGATGAAAGTGAAAATTGATGCTCTCACTGAGAAAGTCACCACTGCAGTGAAGAGTCTACTTGGTTCATTGATGAAAACCTCAAGACTGTGCAGACTAGAACATTGTCTTATAGAACTAAATTATCTTGGGCAATGACTTAGTCCCCGTAAATACCCATTCATCACAGAATGTACTAAGTGAATGGACCATTAGGTTTCATGTGTTAGGATTCTCTAGAGGAACAAAAGTTACAGGATGAATCTATATATAGAGAAAGGGGATTCATTAGTATAGCTTACAGGCTGTGTGGTCCAGGTACTCCAAAATGGCTGTCTACCAATGGAAGGTCCAAGAATCTTGTAATTGTTCAGTCCTTGAGGCTGAATGTCTCAGCTGGTTCCAGTATATGGCAGACCCTAAAGAATTATACTCTAATCCCAGTGAAGGAATGGATTTGTCAGCAAGAATGAGAACTCCTTGTCCTTTATATAGGTTGCCAGCAGAATCTGTGTCCCAGATTAAAGGTGGATTTTTCCACCCTAAAAGATCTGGATTTAAAGTGGATTTTCCCACTTCAAATTATTGAATTAAGAAAAATACCTCACAGATGTACCCAGTTGCTTCAGTTTTAGTTAATTCTAGAAGTAGTCAAATTGACAATCAAAAATAGCCATCCCAAGTCCATCCCTTGCCAACTTAACACACAATCACATCTCCTTAAGACATGCTTAATACATAAATAAATAAATAGCTTTCTTTTTTTTCACAAAAAAGACATGCTTAATTTCTAAATGAAAATATCACCAGATCATATCCTTAACATGGAATAACTATATTATGTACAATTATAGACCCATTACATATATAACCAGGTCACAATTACGCCTAACATGATATAACTATCCCTTATGTAACCACAAACACAGTATTAATTATAGAATAGATGGCAATGGAGCTTGAAGGACATTCTTTTAGTATCTTAAACTTAAATATGTTAGCCACTGATATTCTCTTAATTGATGTTACATTACATGGTAAGGAAATTGAAGAAAGAAAATACAAAAATCTGTACAAACACATTCTTAACAACAACAAAACGATAGAAACACTCATGTCAATTATAATCCTCATTTCTGCAACTGGTCACCTGGCCTTATTTGGTATTTGTAACTACCTTCCTTTATTACCCATTCTGTATTCCCTCCACTCTCAGCAGGTCTCAGCTCTTTTCCTGGACCCACACCTTCATTCCTGAAGAGTCTGTGCCCTTGGTTATCCTTCTTGGATTGGGCTGTTGTAGTTTTCCATTGACTAATCACAGGACATAGCAGCACCAAGAGATGCCCTGAAGAATCTCCTGCACACCAGACATAATCTTCCTTACCACTATTGTAGAGAAGCAATGCAATTTCCCCTTGGAAATCTGGATCAATCATCCCTCCTAACACTGTCATTCCTTTCATTGCCTGTTTACTTAGGAGCATCAGAGGGCCTAAGTGGCCAGGGAGAACAGTTCAATGGAATGTTTGTTGTGTCTTCTGGCAGAAGTTTTCCCTGCTCTGGAACCAAAACTTCAAGTTCAGCAGAGCTTAAGGTCACAGGAACAGGAAGCAAAACTTTCCTAGTGGGTCGCTATGGGTAATATTGAGAGGGCCTGTTCCGTTTTTTTACACCTCAATACTGAGACCTGTGTATCCTTGCTATGGGAGAAACTATACAATATATTGGATGCTGATTCAAAGCATATACTCCTTCTGAGGAATCCTACCCCAGCCCTCCAAGCTGCTGCTACCCAATTGGCACTGTAACTGTGTCTCCAAAAGGTCATTCCTTAATTCTATCAGGCTATCTGCTTCAGGATGGGAGGAAACGTGGTAATAGCAGTGAATTCTGCGATCATGGGCCCACTATTGTACTTTGATGGCTGTGAAGTGAGTGCCTTAATCAGAAGTGATACTGTGTGGAATACCATGACTATGGATAAAGCATTCTGTATATTCACAGGTGATGGTTTTGGCAGAAGCATATCATGCAGAAAGATACATACATCAGAATAAATATCTACTACTCAAGTAAGAACAAAGAATTGT